ATCCAACCCGACCCATTGCCATCCCTAATAAAGAGATCATCTGCCGAAGAGGACAACTCTCTGTCGTTCATTCCCCTACAAATACAATTACTACAGATATCTTTTTGTAGCCACACAAATTAGGAAAAGGATTGGCCCAGAAACAAAATTGCTTTTTCACTTTCCATATCCCGTAAGTATTCCCGAAAGCCGAAACCCCTTTTCCGTTGCTGGATAGGACAAGGAAAGCACAATAACAATATAAATGCTGCTCAGTCGATAGTCATTACTTCCGATTCTTTCCCATCTCTCTGAGTCTCCGGTACCCTTTCCTTTTCGTGTTTCACGACAATGAAGCTTCGCAGTGAATTTAAGGCTGCCAACGCTTCCGGCTCTCTCTGGGCGGAGATCGCCGCTCATTTCTGCTTGCGGAGGAGCCGCCGTCTAAACCCTGCTCTGAAACCTGCGTCCCGGGACCTCCTGGCGCTGCCGCCGTCCGTTCGTTGTCGGAAGAGGAAGGTCGGTGGTGATTCTTCGCCGTCGGGTGATGAGGAGGCGCAGGCGAAGAGGGCTCGGAAGGAAGAAGAAGAAGAAGAAGATGGGTTTCATGCTCCGGCGAATTCCGTTTTTTCCGGGTCGACTTATGAAGGGTCCGAAGGGGATTTAACTGATGCAGCGGAGAGTGATTCGGGTCAAACCGGGAACGAAAACGAGGCTGCTTGGGGAGAACGGGAAAAAGAAACGACGCCGTTGCCTGCTCCGATTTCGGAGGTTTCGACGGAGGAGCAGGGCAAAAATAACGAGGCGGATCCAGAACCAGAACAAGAAATTTCGGGGGAGGAAAAGGGGGGAATCGACGTCGTTTCTGGAGAACATCATGATGAGACGACGACATTATCACCTTCAATTCTCGAGGTTATGGAAATGGAGAAGAAGGATTCTACGGAGCGAGTGATTGCGGCAGAGGAGGAGATCTGCGTCGTCAACAGAAGCCCGACCTACAGCGACGTTTCGCTCGACGATCAAAGTGAAGAGATGAAAGAGGATTCGGAGGGAACGATGAATTCCTCCGCCGAAACTGCCGTCGAGGAAGAAATCAACGAGCTTCCCCCGTCGCCGGTGCCTATTTTTTGTGTTTCCGAGGCAGAGAAGGATACAGAGCAGGTGAATTTCAGCGATCCATTCTTGACAGGGCCTCAAATCCATTTCGCGTTGGATATGGGAGACGCTGGAAAGGTTAATTTCGGGAAATCGGTACTGAAGGTGAGAGATTCCCCGACGGTGAATTATGGTGGATGCGGCAATGGAGGGAGGAGGACTTTCCGGCGAACGGAGATTTTCGCGGGAGAGGATTACAGCAGGATGGAAGTGGTGTGCCTGTACGAATCGCTTAGTTTGCCATTCGGGTGAGTATTATGGGCCGGTCCATTAGCCCAGAGCTCAAGTTCACGCATGAACCAACAAAAGGCCCACTAATCGGGCTGGAGCACAACAAAACCGCATGAGTTTATGTAAGATGTGGTTTGAATCTGGAGTTTGAATCAGATACTTTGTGAAAGATGTTTCTTTGTATTCCCTTAAAAGCTCATTAAGAGAATTTTATTACCAATGAAATTCACATTTTTTTTTGGTGAACTCCAATGAGATCACATTTGTTTTATGTAGTAAAATATAGCTTGATCGGGTGCCAATTGTATGGCAAATATTGTATTATATTTTTTTTATTGAAATAGATATTTGTATTAATTGGATACCATGTTCTAATCAATAAAGTAAACACATGCATTCGTACAATAAAAATGAGATATTTTGTATATTTGGAAAGCAATGAGCTCATTAGAGTTGGTAAATGGCTTGAGATACGCCATAAAATCATATCATAAACTTATCAAGTTATCTTTGATGAGATGCACAATGACGAACAATCGACAAAGTAAAAAAAGCAAATGACATGAAAAGTTATAACCGTCACCAATACAATATATATATGCGTGTTAATTAATTCATGGGCAGGAGAGACACTATGACCCTCAATCATAGGACAAATAGACTGCTCAATTCCATACGGCGCGGTTTCGACCACGGCGGCGGGGTTCCAGAGGGCAGAGGGTAGCAGTGGCGGCTAGGGTTGGGGGTTGGGGGAATTTGGTTTGGCCCTGGACTTTGGACCCTATTGGGTTCCGGGTGGGCCTTGTTGTTTCTCTAATTTTCAGCCTTTCTGTACACTGTATGGTCTTTTCCTTTGGGCTTGCCCATTGCATCTTATTGAACCTCACTTTTAAAAAAAAAAAAAAAAATCAAACTAAAAAATTTACTAGTTTGCTTGCAGTTGTGATGCTTAGCAAGTTATAGGCTCTCACATCTGCGAAAAGAGTAACATGTATACAAACCTTACATGTATGGGGCATAATGTTCTTTGAATTCACATTGTATATACCAAGTCATAATTTTATGCACCCATCGTATTCACTATGAATTGAAAACGAAGCATGCATTTGCATCCAACAATGAGAAATCAAACTAAATAAGGTATTAACCCTTAATATAACATAATAGGTTTGAAATATGAAAGTAGAAGAAGTTGAACCAATAAAAAATAACAATCTTAAAGTGGTCGGATCAAATATCATAAATTCTCAATATATAATTTTCTCTCATTTTTAGCACATATATGATCATATGCAGCTTAAGTGCAATTTAGTGATCCATAAATGCCCTAAACCAGGGTAGGATTTAGTCCAAAAATATATAATCCACAATTAATCAAGATAAAAGCAGAAGAAATAACAAATCTACATTACTACACACAAAGTTCACACACCCAAAAATAGAAAAACTACCTGCCATTGAAATCCGATCCCCCGTGAATTCACGGTTGAAACCCTAATTTTGTAATGGGGTGATTTAATTAAATGAACAATTAAAAAAATTAGTGTTCTTGGTAAAGAATAAATAAATCTAAATCCCGCGTGGAATACATGAGCAACTGACCTCGAAAATTTTGCCTTCTAAAAATAGCAACTTTTTGCTTATTATACAACAAGTCGTTATTGAATATTAGTCTCTTGTGTGAATATTATTAAATAAAATGAATTGATGGTGTCCAACGATGCATATCACTCGCTTTTGCATCAATATCATTTTCCCCCATCTACTCATCAAATCAAATTGTGCCTACACCAACCTAATTTTGAGCTTGCCTTGGCCCACTCTAGACACGACTTTGTGAGCAATCCTAATAAATTAAATTTACACACCAATAAAAGTTAATTAGTACGATATTAAACCCACTTTTTATAATGATAATAACAACATATTGAAAATACGGTTGCATTTAAGTATATATTGGGTGGTTTTGAAAATTGGTATTCAACGAGTGAAAATTTCCAAGACACCAAATCATATAATCTTGAGTATACAAGGTAGGACGTATTTGTAAAATTAGTATAAAGAAAGTGTAGTTTCGTGTATAAGTGTTGTGCAAAATGAAATTTTCTTTACACATACAGAGATCACATAGTAACACACAAATTAATCGACATAGAGCTGACATAAAATAAGCAACACTTGATTGTTATGGCGTACTTTAATGGTTAGATGCCATTCGTTTCATTTTTATAATGGAGGAGGTGATAATATCACTTTTTTGGTTTGTGCATTTGCATTAGCTCCACCTTGAAAATCTATGATATGATGAATATTAATATAACCACATTACCATAATGCCACTAGGACGGGATCTCTTGGATTCCATCTTTTATTTAAGATTTATTTCAATGAATTTGATATGGAATACCTACAAATATGAATACCTACAAACTCCATGAATTTGATATGGAAAACAATTATTGTTGCGCCGAACTTCACACAATCTTGATTTCTCAGTTATACATAATGTTTGACATAATTTTAAGATTTTATCTACCAGAAATGTGTATACCCATAAAAAATCAAAATATATAAGGATGTTGATTAAATTAACATTTTCAACTTAAACCATGCAAAATAAATTAATAAAATTAGATGTGAAAGAAAGGTACGCGAAACAGTTCAAAAAACATCTGATGTGTATACGGTAATGGGCCCGGGAAGGATACAAGGGGAGGGAGGGAAGGAAGGGACCCAAAAAGTGCAAGACGTTGGTGCACCAAACGCCACCTAAATCTCAATCGCAAATCTCAATCCCTTTTCCCCACAAACCCAAAAAATCTTCCCCAAAAACCTCTCCCAATCGAGGAAGCAAAAAAAGCACCCCGTCGACGAGGAACAAAATTCACAGCCAATGGTAGTCGCCGTCGAGGAGAGAATGGCTGCAAAATGGAAAGGGGTACATTTTTAGTGAGAACGCGCGCGAACTGGGAGATCGAGCAGAGTTCTTCTTCTTAGCTTGTTACCACTCCACCACGTGTTGTACATCTCCTTCTCTTTCTCCTTCCTTCCTCTCCTCTCCTCCTACATTTAGCAAACCCTTTTGTTTTTCCTTGGGAGGTTGGGAGTGTTGATTAATTTTTTTTTGGATTTCATCTTGGGGTGGTGGATTAATACGGGCGATGATGGGTCAAAACTTTGAATGGTTCTTCCAATTTACTATATAAAGATTATTTGCTAATTTTTTCCCCTCATTCAATTTTGCTCACACAGATTGCCCATTTCCGTAAATTTGTGTTGTTGGTTATGATGATGGCAGTGGTGGTAATGGTGGTGCTGATGAATGAATGAGGTCTCTCTAATCTCCTCTCTATCGACTTAAAGCTTCCTAATTTCTCGTCCTTTAATTTTTGCATTAAAATCGATCGACCCTCTTCCCCTTCCCCTTGTCTCGTTACCTTCAATTTTCCTATTTCTCCATCTGGGTTTCTTTCAATTTCCTGTTAGATTGAGGTAATTCTCGTGTTTCTTCCCCGCTCCCTCACAAAATACATGTTATGTTATTGGGCATTTTCCACCTGAAGTGATTTCATTTTTTTTCTCTTCTTCTTTTGGGTTGTGATTGATCAGGGCGTGGATCATTCATCCTTGCGGGTTCTAGTGCAAGAAGGGAAGATACAAATACAGTGGTAGCTGGATTGGGATTGGTTAGCAATCCTATAGATGGCGAAGAGTTGGGATCCATTTGGTGATTCGTGGAGCTTTAGGAATTTTGATTGGAATGTGGAGAAATCCCATTTTCCTGGAGGAGCCGAATTGGAAGCCTATAGCAGGGCAGTGTCTGATGATATTTTTGATCGTCTCCCTGTGGATCCGTTTGGCATGGACATCAAGTCCAGATTCAGTGCGGTGAAAGGATGGATTGGAGTTTTCGAGGCCGATTTTGGTGATGTTGGGAACGATGATGGCGAGAAGAAGTTCGTTGGCGATGGATTGTTTTCGGAGTTTGATTGGTTTCTCAATGATGGTGTGAGGCTGCAGTCACGGTCTAACATCAATATCGGTTCGATCTCGATTCATGATAACATCTATGATCTAGGGATTGATTGTGAATATGGCGATTTCGGTTCAAAAATTGATTTCGAGAATGTGATACTCTCCAGTAAAGGGAAAGAATCAACAAGAAGGGAAGAGTGTGATGCAAATGCTTGCTCCGTGTCCATAGATGGTTGTTCTCCTCACAGTTTGGGGATTGATTCTGTATTCAATGCGAGCAGTGGAGTTGTCTTTGATGAAGAGAAAGAGTGCGAAGATAAAAAAGGTGGTGAGCCACCTGATGGTTTCGATTTAGTTCTGTCTTACCTAGGTGTGAGGGAGCTCCTTGTGGTTGAAATGGTATCCAAGTCTCTTCGTGATGTTGTCCGAGATAATTCTCTATGGAAAAACATTTATATCGATCAACCATTAAGTGAGAAAATAACCGATGATGTTCTTGGCAAGTTAGCTGGTAGGGCACAAGGCACTTTGCAATCCTTGACACTGGTTGGATGCACAAAAATCAGTGATACTGGATTGATGCGGGTTCTTGAAAGCAATTTGAGTTTGCAAAAGGTGAGTACCTCCTTCCTTAATGCTAACCACCATCATCCACACTCAAAATTGTTTTCACATGCAAATTAATGATTCGTGTTGCTAATAAATTGATGGAGTATTGTTTTGTTTTTCTTTCAGTTGTTCTTTTGTTTATGCACTTAATGTTTGTTAATCATGGTGCTTGAAAAGTCGATTGATCTCTTTAAGGAGTTATGTTTTTATCATTGTGCATTGAACACAATATTAATAATGTAAGCACTAAGCAGTAGTTGGTTGTCTAGTTTGACTTTTTTATTGTATCAAAACCCAGTATATTGCTAAGCAATTTAGGTTTTAAGCAAGTAGGAGTTCTTACCATAATTTATTTTATTTTGGAAAATAAGAAGGAATAAGGTTACACTTTCAACTACATAATTGGTTATTTTGTGATGCTCTACGTGTCAAAAAGTCTTATGCATCATTAACTATCATTACAAAAAAATATCGATTACCTTGCGATGCTTTGCACGTTGAAATTCCTATCCTAAATTAAAGTGTGCTAATTTAAGATTTGTCAATTCTACTTGTTGCTTGCAGTTATCAGTCCCCAGGTGTCTAAGGCTAACCGTCGATGGCATTGTGGGAATTTTGAGGGCCTTGAAGTTGGCAGGCACTCTAAAATTGAAACACTTGAGATTTGGTTGCTTCGTTGGTGTAACTGACCATCAATTTGAAGAGCTGAGTTCCATTCTTGGTGCAGAGATGCAGACAGAGCAGATGAGCAACAAGAAGAAGCCTCAGTTCTATCACGTGGGACAATTTTATCTCTCATATGATGATGATCGTGCCTTTGACATCGAAAGGTGCCCAAAATGTCAGAAACTGAAGCTGATTTATGATTGCCCTTTAGAGGGTTGTCAAGTGAGCGATCAAGCTGCCAGCCAACTATGTAGGGCTTGCACTCAGTGCATTCCTCGATGCATTCACTGTGGGCAGTGTATTCGGGATAGGGATTATGAGGAAACCTTCACGTTGGACCATCTTTGTTTGGTCTGCAGGAAGGAACTCCAGACTTGTGACGAGAAGCATGAAATGAAGAGTGTGTCTTCTTCAGGAAGCATCATCTTTGTGGACAAATGAGGTGAATCCAACTTCCGATTTTTTGTATTAAGAGTGAAGAAAAGGCGTTGCTTGTATTATCCTCCTTCATGGTTGTCGGTTAATTTTACATACTTCAACTGTGTTTGAAGATGTGGCGCAAGGATTGCCGATGGATTTCAACCTCACTCTCGTTGCAAAGTTACACAAAATCCTCCTGTGGCTTTGGGTTCTGTTGTCTCTTAGGAGCCTTGAGGCAGACTGGCCTTGGTTTGTCCATTGGCTGTTTGCACATGACAAACATCAACTGAGGTTCAAGAGTAGGCTTACAGGGTCAAAAAGAACAAAAAAGTGGAAAAGAACAAAAAAAAAGGTCAAAAGTAGCTAAAAAGGAGGAAAATAAAGAAAGGAAAGAAGCACAGCAGAAAGTGAAGGAAATATGATAGGGAAGGGGGAGACACTGATGTTGTTGCATTTGAGATGAGCATTAACCGAGGTTACCCTTGTACAGAATGGCTGTCTGGCTGGATGTTGTGATGTAAAGGACAGAGAATAAGGAAGGACTTTAAGCAAATTAGATTTCGATTGATTGGGGCAGGAGTTTGTTAGTAACAAGCTTTTTGCTGCTGGCTTGTTGATGTCAAACCTCCAGTAGAAGGATTAAGAAGTTGAGGTGGGTGAAATGAACAAAGAGAAGGGTCTTCACTACATAGAAGAAGCTTAGAAGGTTTGCAGGCGAGAAATATCGGCTTATTTTTGCTTGCAAGGTGATTGGTTTGTGTGTGTGTCAATATGTCAGGTTGGTGTTGGGAAGATGATGTTTGTGGGATACTTGCTGCAGAATTAATCAGATGTTCATTATGTTAATATTGTAATCTTTCTCTGTTGTTTTTGTTTTTGGGGATGGGACTGGGCTGACAATGTAAGATAGTGCCCAAGTCTTCCATTATCAAATAAATAAGTGACATCACAACTAATTTTTGTAGAGATTTGATGTTTGTTGGTGATTTCTATATATACATATACACCTCATGAGATTTTATGTTTGTTGGTGATTTCTATATATATATATATATATACATATGAGGTGGGAAAATTGTTGATAACTGATACAAGAAATGTTGCATTGTCCACCTTTTCCTAGGAATGACAATGTTAAGCGAATAATTTGATTTAATTGTCATGATTCATTTAAGTATTCTATTAGATTTAAATTGACTAACATACATGCTTAGGGGTCATTTGCATGAATTATTTGGTACTAGATTACTCTTTTGTGAACAAAAAACAAAACAAGTCGTTTGCAAATGACTTGTTTTTAATATCACTACTTTCAATCTCAATCTCCCCTTTCTTTCATATACGCAATACTAATCCTTCTCTATTTTGTCTTCATAAAACCAGTACTTTCCAACTATTCTCCATTATACTTTTCAACTATCTCTAGAAAAATAGTTATTATTTTTTAAAGGTTTCAAATATATGTTTTGTTTGGTTGTAAAATGATATAGTTTGGAACCCTTATAATTTGTAAATAAATTTATCATAACAACATTGTTCACAAATAAAAAAATAGTATTATTATATCTAACTAATACCCAAATAATAAGTTACATATTGGTTGCAAAATGGAATTTGCTTTTGTGGTTGGCTTTATTAGGATAACAAACAAGAAAATGAATAAGAGAAAAATAATAACAATATACAAATGACCCATCTAAAAATTTATCAATAAACAACACATTTGGACTAATGGAGGTGAGTGGGACTGGAAATGCCTCAGCACATACCTCCCTAATGATATCCTCTGCGTATTGCAGGAAAATATAGTTTAGAACTAGGAATGAGAGAGGATAAAACCCTATGGGGTGTTGAGAAGGATCATCGATTTTGTCTAAGATTAGCATTCAACCTTGCTTCAGGGAATATGGAAGCGGAACCAGAGAAGATTTGGAAGAACTTTTGGCACTGGATAGGTCTAAGTTTTGTCACGTATTTCCTATAGCTTGCAACCCACAATAACTTCTCACCAACAAGGAAAGAGAGGCGCGAGCTCACAAGTAATGGCAGCTGCACTCATTGTACTGTAGCAGAAGAGACAATTGAGCATGTCTTTCGCAACTTCACAAAGAACAAAAATCTTGAGTTCCATACTTGGCTCACCAAAATCTCTAGGCTAAGGAGACGTAAATATAATTTGGCATTGTCTACTTGATGCTATGGAAACAGAGAAATGAGGAAATTATGAAGACACGAAATTCTAGGGCGAAGGGACTATTCATATGATAAATGTCTGGTTTCAAATCAACAAACAAGCACATAATAATAATAGCGTACAATGAAGCATTCTACTACCTCAAAACAACAAAATAAGTTAGTAGATCGGTTAGACTCCTCTAAGAGATGGGTGGTTGCGAATCTGGACGGATGGCTCGGTTGACACTTCGACTAGGAAAGCAACAATAATGGACTTTTGTGTGATTAGTTGGGTAGACGTGAGAGAGCATTCGGCAACAACTCGAGATTGTGCTCGATCACAAGAGCTTAACTTAAGGGGGCAGTTGAAGATCTTGAGTTTGCTTGGCGTAAAGGCTTCGAGAAGGCCGAGTTAAACCTTGATTCCTAGACATCAAAAGGATACAAATCACATATATGGTTTGCTAGTCAAGCATATAGGTAGTCCTTTGGAAAGAGATTCAAACGTTAGAATTTCCCATATATATAGAGAAAGTAATTTTGCAGTCAACTTCTTGGATAATAGGGATTATTTTGTTCCTTTTGGCACACATTCATTAGATGCTGCGAGACCATGGGACAAATCATGGATCCAGTTATTTACTAATACAAATTAGACGTCGATGATTATGATAATATACGTAGAGAATGAGTGTGCGTGATAAAAGTTTGTTTTTTTATATAGGAATGAATTTAAAGATTTAGGATAACCAATTTTTTTCCTTGGTTGTTGCCCCCAAGGATCGAACTGGGATTACCAATTACGACAGAAAATAACATTAACTTTTGTAGAGATATTATGTTTAATGATTTATGTATATGGCTTATTAAACTAGTAAAAGACGAAAGCAATCCTTAATAAACCGATCTTACTCGCAAGTTGAAAGGCAAATTATCGATTAAATGCAAACAATTTCTAGGAAAAATTGAATGTTGGTGAAAAATGATTGTGAATTTATATCTATACCTTCTTTTTGTATAATACTATATTTGTACTGCTACAAAATTTTATCGGGATATTATTACTTACTAATTAGTAAATTCAAATAGATATAACATGTTTTATTTTACATTTACGGGAGAAGAGTCGTTCCTATCAATTGAATAAATGAAGTGTAAACACTAATTATTAGCCAAACCTATTGAATTACTAATAATTAACAAAATGTTCACTTTCAATTAGCAATTTTGTTAGTAATGTTGATTTGACAATATGATACTGACTTAAAAGAGACACATGATGGTGACCATTCCAAAACTTTAGTATTTTAACTAAGAAAAAAGTTAAAAAACTATTAACAATAATGTGAAAGTAACTAATAGTTTGAGGTATTACAAAATATATGGCTAATTATTAGCAATCCAATAACGTTTGCAAGAAATATTTGATAAATAATTAGTATTTATTATTTACCCTAAAAAATTGTCTCTTATTTTAGTATTAGTCCGAAACGTCTCACATAACTTCGAAACGTTTAGAAGGTATGAACACAGGGAAGAATGCGGCTTTGGGGACGAAATATCCGTTTTTACTGATCCGCGCCTCTCTCAAGGCCGCGCGCCCTATTTATCTGACTTCCCCCTCTCTCTAGATTCTTCTGGCCGACGGCGAAGTTCTTTACTGGAAGAAACCCAAGTCCTAAGCGCGAGGGAGCAGCTTTCGCCGGAAGAATGGAGAACGGCGAAGTACCTGAAGACGCTAACGAGAGTAAGCGACAGCCCCTTTTCCTCAATTCCATCCTTAAGTTCTTCTTCTTTTCTTTCTGTTTCCAGGCATGAATTGCTCTAAACCTTGTGGATTCCCGCCTACAGATTGTCCCGGTCCTCAGTCTGAATCCGCGGGAAAGTCCGATTCCTGTCAAGGATGCCCTAACCAGGAAGCTTGTGCTACTGCCCCTAAAGGCCCCGACCCAGGTTCCCCTCTTTTTTTAATCTTACTTCTTTATTTGCTGTTAGATGTTGATAGGAGTAGTTGGCATCAGAGCCAGTAGGTCTACCTTTGAGTTGGGTAATGGTTTCTGCTGGATGGTTATCTTACTTGAGAGTTAGTTGCATTTAACTTGGATTGCAGCTGACTGCCTGGCTCTGAGTCCATTTCGAGTAGTTGATTCTGGTGTCAAAAAATGGTGGAACTTCATTACCAAAAAATGATGGAACTTGGTTTGCTAGGGAGTACCATGTTGGAGAAAGGAGCTTCTAGGAACTCAAGCTGCTGTTAATGAAGGTTCAATAGACTTGATTATGCTAAGTGATTCTGGGTAACAAGTTTGAATGATAATGGATTTATGAACTTCGTGTCCAGAAGCGCTAGGGTTGACTAATGTTTGTCCATACAGAAATGTTATCTTATATCCATCTAGATGGAACATGTTGTTTACTCTCTGGCAAGTCTAACCATTGATCTTGGAGCCACTTGGCATTAAGTATATCTAGATCGTACAAGAAAGGGGGTTCTCATTTGTTCCTGTTTGTCCTTCACGAGAAAGAAAAGCTTATGGCTCTTTGAACTTTGAGCCATTTGGTATTGGGTTTGTCCGTTATTTACGCCCTGGCATCTCTAACAGATGATCTTGAAGCGGGCTGGTATTATATGTTAACCAGATCGTGGTAAATTGGTCCAATATTTGGGTTTCTCTTCTCTTTCTGTTTGTTCTTCACGGGCGAGAGGGAGAGAGAAACGAGTATTGCTTATTTCCGATACCGAACTTTGAGTTCAATGATTGTCCCTCTGGAGTCTGGAAAGCCAAGTGCTTTTAACTGAATCCTTGTTTTCTGGATTTCCACAGACTTGGTTGCAATAGCAGAGAGAATGGCAACTGTGAAGCACAAGATCCTGATTTTGTCAGGGAAAGGGGGCGTAGGGAAGAGCACATTCTCAGCCCAATTATCCTTCGCCCTAGCCTCCCTAGACTTCCAAGTCGGTCTCCTAGACATTGATATCTGCGGCCCAAGCATTCCCAAGATGCTCGGCCTTGAGGGTCAAGACATCCACCAGAGCAACCTTGGGTGGTCCCCAATCTATGTTGAATCAAACCTAGGAGTTATGTCAGTTGGTTTCATGCTTCCAAACCCAGATGAAGCTGTCATATGGCGAGGGCCCCGCAAGAATGGCCTCATCAAGCAGTTTCTAAAAGACGTCCATTGGGGCGAGCTCGATTTTCTTGTGGTTGACGCTCCACCAGGGACCTCAGACGAGCACATCTCGATCGTCCAATTCCTCCAGGCGACAGGAATCGACGGTGCTATCATAGTCACCACGCCACAACAGGTAAGGGTGGCTAACTAGGTAGCCATTTTGGTTGACTATTAGATTGACTGTTAAGTTATGGTTATGACTTATGATTTTGAAGCAACAACTCCCTAATGGTTTTGATTATTGAATTTTCCTCAACAACAGGTGTCCCTGATCGACGTACGAAAGGAAGTGAGCTTCTGCAAGAAAGTTGGGGTGGAGGTTCTCGGGGTTGTTGAGAACATGAGTGGGTTGAGTCAACCGTTGACAGATTTCAAGTTCATGAAAGCAGGGGAACATGGGGAGCAAGTCGATGTAACAAAAGCTGTTCTGGATTGCATGAGAGAGAAAGCTCCCGAGTTGCTGGAGCTGGTTGCGTTTACTGAGGTGTTTGATAGTAGTGCAGGTGGTGCAGCAGAGATGTGTCAGGAAATGGGGGTCCCTTTTCTTGGGAAAGTACCACTTGATCCGCAGCTGTGCAAGGCTGCTGAAGAGGGACGATCGTGTTTTGAAGGCCAGAGTTGCAGGGTTAGTGCTCCAGTGTTGAGGGGTATGATCGAGAAGCTGCTGAAGGTGAAGGAATGGAATCAAGACGAGTTGCAGCATGCAGAGAATGGACGAGTGTAATAAGAACATATGATCTTTCTGTTTGCTTTTCATTAGATTCTCAAGTTTTTTCTTTGTTGTTCAAAGGTGAATGCTTTGAGGATTTTGTGTTTGGCATACAAATGAGTTGAAGGTATACACATGCCAACCAAATAACGCCATTTTTGGCTGTGAACATATTGCTCGATGGCATATTGTGTTATCCTATAGAAATTTGTAGCCTTTGATTTCCATTGGAGTTGAAGTTAGGTTCTACAGGCCGACTTAGTGAAGGAAATTGTTTTCAGAAATATATTCACTGAGCTGGGTTGCAACCTGGGCAGAGATCACAGAAAACTGCAGTTCCATTCTCAGTTGACAGAAACCATAAGGGTGAAGAAACTCAACTATCCATTATGTACGAGTAATCCAGTTTCAATACAGATGGAAGTAACATCTTGCATCAACATACACCAAAAGGCACACGAATTAGCATCACGATGAGTCCAAAATCGGTTTTTGCAACCAGTCAACGAAGCATCAGTTGTCCAAAAAAACCCATCAGAGGGTCACAGCAATAATTCACTCCAGAACGCTGAATCTCTAGGACTCGTGCATGCTGCATTTGAGTCTCCACATATTAGCTACTTTGGGCCATAATTCCTAGAGAACCTGCGACAAAAATCCATAAATGAGAAGGTATTAGACCACATTGGCCAGGTTGAAGTTGTTACGGGCAAGAGACTGATAAAGAACATACTTAAAAAAATCTCCGTATAGCCACTTCTGCTTCTTCCTTTCCAAACCCGTCCTGCTTTGGAAGGATGGCTGAGTTCTTTTCCAGTCGTTCCTCAAGGGGGATCAAACGTTTCTCTGAATGGCATTACCATCTGTTGATGAAACCGGCTGTTCTCTTATCCGAGACAAAAGCATTGAAACTCCTTCCGTAGCAATCTCCAACCTCTCCTTTGACTTGCCCGATTCACTTATCAAGGACGATACCATATTCCGTAACATCTGCACGTTCTCTGAATGATTCCGCTGCGGATCTTGAACCAGTTTACTGGGAGGTGTGCCTGTAACACGACGCCAGCGTACGGGGAGATACCTTTCAGGTATTTGGAAACAATTCCCAGTGGAGAGAACACGAAGGGTATGCCTACAGAGTATTCCAGAGAACTCGAACTGATGACAGCTGCAACTAATGATGCCTTCCCTGGGCATCCAATACACCTTCCTGCCTCCTTCGAGCTTTGTGTGGTGTCTCACGAGAAACCCATCTTCCATTTGGAATGACGCATAGTGGGCAGCTAATACGAGTTGTTCTTGGAGCTTGGAGAAAGCGTATGGAGTGAGGACTGATGCGGCATGGGATTCCATGGGTGCCCCCGTCTTTAAGTTTATGTTTTGAAGATTCTGCTGCATTATTTGTTGTTCAGCAGCTTGGTCTTTGAAGTCAACTGCAACAGAAGCCTGGTTCCATTTCAGCAGTAAGTTAAAAACCTAATGAATTCGGACTTATGCCTTGTAATTTGGATGAGGGAAGAACTGGAGAGAAGCCAATAGACATACCTGTTCTACGAAATGAGGTAGACGGGTTTGTGCAATTAGAAACCGCTGGATGAATGCATTTATAGATTTTGAATGTCCAATCGCCATCATTCCTGCAAAGAAATGGCTTCTCAAGTATGGTAGCGCCCATAGAGACCGCAAGGCATACAAGTTTGCAATGTGGCGATTAGCGTGCAGCCCGAATGAAGTCACCATGTCCCTCCAACCAAGCTCAAAGTCTTCAATTGATTCTAGATTATATAATCGATGAAATTCTTCTTTCCAATCATTATAACGATCTCCTAAAACAGCATTAAACCAGGAAGGAAATTTCGCCACAATCATCCACATACACAGAGCATGTTTTGTACTAGGCATCTCAGCAGCCATGGCTTCTTTGAGGCACATATTCTGGTCAGTTAACATTGTCTGTGGTGCTTTCCCATTCATAAACCCCAAGAATGCCTACCATATTCATAGCAAGAAACAAAAAACAAAAACAAATAAGAACTTTTGGAGGCGGGTTACTTGAAAGGTGAATGCATACCAGTACAGATAATTGCTACTATATTACCTTCAATGCCCAAGACAATGACCTCAAATTTTCTTCTCGCAGAATCACACAGCCGAAGAAGCAAGGCGTACCATAATTGTTCACTCCAATCCATATCCCGAGAGGCATGTCGATTGCAGTCAAACGATGAGTTGTATCAAATACCACAGCATCACCGAACACGTCATATGATTCAATAGATGAAGCATATGACCAAGCAATATTCTCAAGCCTATTGTTGGAATCAAGTAAGTATTCAAACTTGAAGTCGGGTTCCTTGTCCTTTATGTTTCTGCATATTCTCAGCAAGTCTATACTCTCATCCTCTGAATCTATCTTACGAAACGACTGAAGCAAATTCCTCACATCCTTCTCAGTGAAAGGCAGATACCCTGGCTCAACACATTTCTCAAGTTCCAACAGCCTCATCATTTGTTGAACTGAAATCCTAGTTTTGGCAAACATGAGAATCCTGCTCTTATCTGCCTCCGATATGCTTCGATAAGCAGGAAGAAAACGGACTTGATTCGGCTCAAGAAGCTCGTGATTGTGGTGGTTTGCAAACCCTGTCACGCGCCACTCGAATGCACCCAACTCCGAGGACTTGCTAATCCTGATATACGCCTGACATCCACAACGAGATGATTTCCTATTCCTTTGCTGCTTACCCTCGTTTGCAGCTTTAGCAGGAGTGCTTCCAGCTCGATGGCACACGAAATACCGCCTAGTGAGCCCCTTGCCAATGCCGTCTTTCCCCTCCGTGCGGTGCCTTCGAATTGAAAATCCACATCGCTTAGCAAACTCACTGTAGAATTGATAAGCTGCATCATGTGTAGCAAATCTCTGCCCGATATAAGGAACAGTGTCAGTATTGGTTTCCAAGGAGAGTCTTGTGTCATCGTGTGATTCCTCTGTGCTACTGCCATCGTCCAAAGACAATGATTGTTGGTTTGAGGGATCATCATAGACCATCAACATTTCTCCAGCCTCTTCAGATATCATCCCTTTTTATTTTCAGACAACGACAGTCAACTACCGACACCCCGAAACACAATATCCTAAATGATACACAGCCAGGCTCTCTATCAGTTCATAAACGAAACCAGGCAAATTAATCATAAGCAACTTGTGGAACCATTCGAGAAGAAGAAGAAGAAGACTGCCCAGCCGCCGCGGCCCAATTCGCTGCCTCCTCTCCTCTCCGATTTCCCGCCGGATATGGATTTGTACGCCCCAGGGGAGAATTGGGTCCAGAGACCTTCACCGGAAAGGAACTGCCTTTCTTCCTCGGAGGCAATGCCGGGAAGAGACGGGCGCGAGATGTAAGTGTTATGGTTGATTAGTAACGATGCTAGAAGAGTTGCTGTGGAGGCGCGAAGTGGAAAAGCAAATGAGGGTACCGGAATTGGGGAAGAAAGGACAGAGATGGAGGGAAAAGGAAGTCGAAGAATGGCAGCAAATGCTGAAATTAGGGATTGGATTGGAAGTCTGGTTCGGAAGGCGACTGATTGGAATCTTTTCCGGAGTCAGTTTACTGTTGGTTTCTATCAGGGAGTACTTTGGGCCAAGAGTTTGGCGGCAATTTGAAAACCTGGGCTTTACATTGTAATGAACATATGGGCTTTGATAGGCTATCCAATTCTAAATGGGCCAAGGTCCTCCACGATCCAAAAGAACGAAAGAAGCTATTTTTGGCTCATTTTACCAGTTCCATAATATACGCTCCATTTTCTCAGCCTCCCGCCATGAGACCTGGTAAAGAACGATCGGAAATGGCGGGTGAACTCGCCGCCTCCTTAGCTCCCGGCTGCATTGTCGATTCGTGTTTCGCCAGTTTGGGAAATCTCCATGACTATAAATCTGCTCTTCCATTTTCTTCCAAACTCCTTTCCTCCCAATATCTTTATCTGCTTCCTGCGTCTGCTTTCCCCTCTCCATCGGCGAATTCTGATTCCCAGCTCCATCAATGGCGAAGGTCAAGATCGGAATCAACGGTATGCACTCTCTATTATCCTTCGTATTCATTGATCTATAATGAAATCGAGAAATGGCGTTATGTGTAATTCTTTGTTCTGAAAATGTTAGGTTTCGGAAGGATTGGGCGCTTGGTCGCCAGAGTCGCGTTGCAGAGAGACGATGTCGAGCTCGTCGCTGTCAACGATCCTTTCATCACCACCGACTACATGGTACGTTTTCAACGTTCGATGCAAATGGAGGCGAATGGGGAATCGATGGTAAACAACGAAAGGGCCTGATTTATACTGTGTGCTTGGTTTTTGTTCAGACGTATATGTTCAAGTATGACAGTGTTCACGGGCAATGGAAGAACCATGAGATCAAAGTGAAGGATTCCAAAACCCTTCTCTTCGGCGACAAGCCCGTCACTGTTTTCGGCTGCAGGTTTTCTGCTCCTGCTATAGCTTTCCTTTTTCCTTTTTCCTTCTTCTCTACAATGCTGAATTAAGATCATGGGATGTATTGATAAGAGAAGCTTTGATTCAGGAATCCCGAGGAAATCCCATGGGGTGAGACCGGAGCTGAGTACATTGTTGAATCCACCGGAGTTTTCACTGACAAGGATAAAGCTGCTGCTCATTTGAAGGTTCCCTTTCCCTTTCTTCCTTTTTTGTCCTGAATCCGTTTCCATCGATTGGAATGTGAGTGTGATGAGAAGGTTGAATTGGGTGGTTTCTATGATCAGGGTGGTGCTAAGAAAGTTGTGATATCTGCACCAAGCAAAGATGCACCAATGTTCGTTGTCGGCGTGAATGAGAAGGAATACAAGTCTGATCTTGATGTCGTCTCTAATGCTAGTTGCACTACCAACTGCCTTGCTCCCTTGGCTAAGGTACTACACTACGAAGAAACAATTTGTGGGTTGTTTAAGTCTTGTTTATCATTCTTTTGTATGCTGAATTTGTGTATAAGCATCTGATTTTTTGCAGGTCATCAATGACAAATTCGGCATTGTTGAGGGTCTTATGACCACTGTCCACTCCATTACTGCCACACAGAAGACTGTTGATGGCCCGTCGATGAAGGACTGGAGAGGTGGAAGGGCTGCCTCCTTCAATATCATTCCAAGCAGCACTGGAGCTGCTAAGGTACTATCTGTGGGCAATGATGCAGATTGGTTATTCCAATTTAGCGTCAACCTTCTAAGATTATGATGGATTCTTGTCCCGGTTATCTTTCTTGATTCTTTAGGCTGTTGGCAAAGTGTTGCCTGCCTTGAACGGGAAGTTGACTGGAATGGCGTTCAGGGTTCCCACGGTTGATGTCTCGGTAGTGGACCTCACTGTCAGGCTCGAGAAGAAGGCCACTTATGATGACATCAAGAATGCCATGAAGTATGTTTTTCATATACCAGCATGACCTGATGGGTCCTGCACGAGGTCTTGAAATCAAATGTGCCATTGTTCTTGCAGGGAAGCATCTGAGGGTTGCATGAAGGGGATCCTTGGTTATACTGAAGATGACGTTGTGTCATCTGACTTCGTGGGCTGCAACAGGTGAGTCGAGGAGGAGGAACTGTCTCTCTTATTCGATGCCATTAGCATCTGCTATACAAATTTTGTGGCTGATCAACTTGCCATACACCCATTGTTGCAGGTCTAGCATCTTCGATGCCAAGGCTGGAATTGCTCTGAACGACAACTTCGTGAAGCTAGTCTCTTGGTACGACAACGAGTGGGGTTACAGGTAATGTGGCTCATGCACCAAGTTGGCAACTTTCTTTATAGAGCCTTCATTTCTAGGCATTGTGCATGGTCCCTATTTATCTCTGGGATCACTTGATACTAAATCTCGCACTGTTCCTTTTCGATGTTGTTTTTTTGCAGCACAAGGGTTGTTGACTTGATCTGCCACATGGCTTCCTGCAAGTAAAAGGAACACTGCACCCAATTTTGGGTCGAGTTTAGGGAATTAGAAGAGAAGTACTAAATAATCCCAGGCACGAGAGAACAATCTTTGCAGTTGTGGAAGTGGTGGAAGAAGCTACTACCCCTTTCCCAACTCCGTTTTTTTATATCCTTGGGAAGTTTTGAGGCTCTCCCCAATGTGGAGTTTTGAATTTTTTTCTGGTTTATTTATGTAATGATATGATTTGTTAATTTCAAATTAATGATCATATGTGCTCATTTTTAGTTATGGATGATTGAACCATCACTATGAAATAACTCCTCTTTTGTTTTGGAAACTCAACTAAACCTGAATCAAATTAACGATCTAACAAAAGTGATATTTCAACCAGTAATAGAAATAATATGATTAAAATTTCGTTTATTGACCATGGAAAATTCGATCAACCGGTATACCAAATAATGTTAAAATCCCTACTTATCACTTTGTTCATTCATATTTCTTGAGCATTAACTTCTATCTCATGAATTCAACTCTCACTCTCTGTAAATATACATTCCCTGTTCATCTATATAAAGACTTCTCTCGGCCAAACGTCAAAGTGAGTTTTTCCCAAACGACATTCAAGTAATGCTTGAAAGAAAAACTATCCAGAACCAGATGTTACTATCCTGATGGTAATTGGTAGAATGCATGTAGTTGAAAATAAAGGTAAAATGCGTGACACCTACTCCTCATCTTTTGCCACGAGCCATGTCCATGAACACATCACATCCGAACAATCAAGACCCCTAACCCTTCTGACAAGGCCACAGGACAGGCTATCGATTTGGTGAAATCAAAACACGGAACAAGATCAGACCAAGTGGTGCAAGAAAGCAGATGACTTTCACCACCTTCTCAATTTATGCTTAACCAAGGGAACAATGTTAATCACATTTCAAGTTTGTAATTAAAACCGCATACTGAGTCATTTACTAGCAGAAACATCCACCAGACGATGAACAAAATAGGCAGATTCTTCCGAGTTCAACATTACACCAACTTCCTAACTTTCAAAGATCCTTCATATTCCTAAAAGTGTTCAATTATGATAAGATCCCCAGAAACGCAAAGGCAAGAAAGTATTACTCCAACCAAAGCCATTCACAACTTCCTTCATGCCTCTCTCACTAACCCCGCCTGATCCTACAAGAACAACAAACAGGAGTCAGAACAAGGACAGTGGAACTTCATCAAGCCACAACCAAAAGAGTCTATGCAAATGGAGTAACTGCCGTTCATAATCAACTGTTTCATGAAGAGCATAGGTAAACTTCTGCATTGTTGTATCGGTGTATACAATTAAGAACCGCTTTGCAAACCATAAGCATTAATATTCAGAAAGGATTCAAGAGGACCTTAATGACAAGGCATGATCATGAATTTTGATTCAAAGACCAACTAAACTTGTCAGCCAAAGCAACAAAGGCAAAGCCTAAGACCAATGTCTAGTGTTCTTAAGAGCAGGGCAGAGTGAGCAACAAACCGAACTTACAGAAACATAAGCTACCAACTCAGTGAAGCCACACAATCAACTATATCCAAATCAGCTATACTTCCTGTCTTCCCCAAACAAGAAATCATGTACATCCACACTATTTCAACCAACCGAGTGAAATGAAATGCAAGACAATCCAAGCAGAAACACATTACCTCTTTCAGCGGCCAGCACCCAATCCAAGCAGCATATTGCCCCCAGAAGGAAGGTAAGAAACATTCGGCGACCTAGCAAGAGTTGCAGCAATCTCCCTAGCAGCCTCAATCCTCCTGAGCTCAATAAGCCCCATGCCAGCCTTGGTAGTTGCATCGGAGATAAGCTTGGCAGCCTCACTTTCACCTTCCGCCCTGATAACAGCAGCCCTCCTCTCTTGGTCAGCCTTCATCACCACAAACTTGGACCTCTCGGCCTCCTGCTGAGCCACCTGCTTCTGCTCGACGGCCCTCGAGAACTCCACACCATAAGACAGGTGGGTGATCGCCACATCTTCGAGCATAATGTTGAAGTCTCTAGCACGGTTGATAAGAGCTTCCCGAACGAGCATGGAAACTTGAGGACGTTCGGTGAGCAGCTGATCAGCATTGAATTGAGCAACCACTGCCTTCAGCACCTCATTACCAATCGAAGGGAGCACCTTCTCATCATACTCCACTCCAAGATGTTGAAAGATGTAGGGCAGACGCGTCATCTTAAACAAAATAAAACAAAACCCATTCTCTAAGCACAAACAACAGAACCCCAAAGCTAATCAATAAAAAAACTGACCCAAGATCGAGAAATCTAACAGCCAGATGTTCAATTGATTCACCAAACAACATTTCCATAACAAGTTGAATTAGAGCAGAATTGAAACAATTTAGCTGGGAATTTTATTCTATATCCTCTGTTTATTACCTCCGGGCGAGAGAGGACACGGAGGGTGAGATTCACCATCTGCAAATCCTTCGTACCAGAGACGGAAGTGAAGGTGTGAGGCTTGACTCGGATGTCGAAGTAGTGAGGAGTCTGGATCCACGGGATCCGAATGTGAGTACCTTCGCCGACGACGGTGGGGACAACTCCGGTGAAACGGTCGAAGATAACCACACGCTGGCCTCCCTCGACGGTGTAGAGCGCGGAGTTGACAGCAGCCGCGGCGGTTCCGAGACCGAAGGCGGTCTTCGCCATGGCAGTCAAAAACGAAACCAATTGTTGGCTACTCCCCATTGTAGATCTTCCGAGAGAGAGAGAGAGCTAACCGCTACGCCAGAGAAGAAGAGAGAATCGGATGACGATCTTCACTGGAAGGGTTTTGGGAAGAAGATGGTGTGAGGCCTAGGGTTTTACGAATTAGATCACGGCGTCAATACTCAATATTTGTTTTCTATTATCGGTTTAAAATAAAAATATTTAGTCGTATATTTTTTCTTGTGAAGTAAGTCAGGCATTTTGGGCTTGACGGGTTCCGTTGTGGCATTGGGCCCATATGTGTAAACCGTGCTTAAGTATTTTAGGCCCATATTTGTAACCACCCTGCCCATTTTAGATTGGGCTCGTCGCGGGAAAGGAAATTAGAGCAAACAGTAAGGACTAAGGAGGGAATTTGATTAGTTTCTGTTCTCAGAATCTCAGTTGCAGTCTTGCAGAGAAGCAGAGCTACTTCTCCGCCTCCATCTCCTTTCTCCGCTGCCGGGAAAGCTACACTAAGTTCCGCTGCCGTTAATTCATCGGAAAGGTACTTTCTGAAGTTCTCTTATTGTGGTCTTTTGATAATTATTCATTTGTGCTCTTAAGCTCTGAAATCTCGCCCCCTCCGTCCAACGAGAAGTAGGACTGGATTAGGGTTGGAAAAATTTCAGTGGATTGATTGATAGAATTTTCTCCATTTCTGGAGAACCTGATCTGTGAAATGCTGTAATTGATTTTACGAAGGTGCACCTTATGAGAGATAAGCATCGAAATTCTTAGACTGGGTTGATGGCTTATGAGATTTTCTATCTGTCCATACTCTGAAAATGCTGGGGGTTGAACTTGGTTTTCTGAAGTCTCGAGTCATCCTCCTTAAAGTTGTGATCTTTTGATTTTCAGAGTTATGGCAATGAACAATATAAGGTCCTTGAGGAGTGTGGTGATTAGTAAAGAAGTAGTCGGAGTGAGAACATTTGCTGCGGCAGGTGGTAAGGCAAAGAAGGGATCGAAGGGTGGGGCTTCTGCAGATGCACCAAAAGCTTCGAGTCTTAGTAAAGAAGTGAAGTCTTCGACGACTGTTGGTGCCAATATTCTTAAGGATGGTACAGATCCTAAAGTGATGGTTGATGCAGATTACCCCGATTGGCTATGGCATCTTCTCGATAAGCGTCCAGCGTTGAGTGAGCTGAGAAGGAAAGAGAAAGAATCTCTGCCGTATGAAGATCTGAAGCGCTATTTCAAGCTGGAGACACGGGCTGGCATTAAGGAAAACAACTCTATTAAGGCCAAGAATTAATGTTACGGGATCTGTTAAGCAGGTGTTCGTGCTTTCGTCATAAAGGTCCGTTTCTTCTGCAGGATTAGTATCAGGTTTGAGTCTTTTGTATGGTCTATGGATATGAAAGATAGAACTTGGGAGCTTTTTCAATCTGATGCTATCAGTCAATGTCCCTTATTAGTATATTTTTCTCTTAGCTGTTGATTATGTAAGGACCCATACCTTCGCTGAAACTGGTCCATTAGTTGACTGAACAATGCTGAAATCCCGGGGTAGAAACTGTTTCTTTCACTCAACAATTTCTCCTAGGTGAAAAGTAAGAGAGTTGCAATGATCATAAATGTATATTGAGTATCGTCCATTAGCAAGCAATTGATGCCTTACCACTTTGGGTACACATATCTGTTTGCCTGCCCCAAACACTAATTACCTTAGTGCTTTTGTTTAAAGATGAGAAGTCTTTGACTTTCTTTTCTGAAGAAATTTCCATCTGAACTGTTGCTTGATTGAATTGGTATGGCCGTATGGGAATCATTCTAGATACTCACCAGCTAAATCTGCGATAATGTATGCATCTTGATATGTGAGAATCACATGATCTTGATGTCTGCTGATCTTATTTTCTGACGCAACTACAGAACTGCAAGGTTCGTAGAACCTCTTCTGCTGTTGCTGGGTTACAGTCTTCTTCCTTTTCTGTCACTGCTTTGCATTTGCAACATCTCAACCAGAAGGAAATCAGCTGCAGAAGGTTCATTGAATCAACATTCCCTGTGGCCCATGGGGGTTGACAATGGACATTGAACTAGAAAGGCTTCGCGGAAGCCAGCACCAAGACATACCCTTTTATTCTCCCTTTTCCTTAACCCTTATCATTTCTGATCTCTCTACTTTCCTTTGAGATATTCCATAAGCCCTACTTGCTTTCCTCCTTTTTTCTGCTTTCTGTCATAATCTCAATGGCCCTTGTGTCTACCATGAATGAGTGTTCTACTGTTTTGGGGAAGTTCTTAATCTTAAACAAGGTTTGAGCCTTTTGCTCTTTTGCCATTGCTGTGACTAGAGTTTGATTTGAGATTGAGAAAGATTTTAATAATAGCAGTAGTAAGGACTAAGGACATGAATGATGATGAGCATGTTGTCTTGCTAACTTTTATGATTAGGTGGTTCTTGTTTAAAGTCACGCTGGCCCAATTGCTTTCTTTTTGATGAGTTACCAACTAAAATAATGAACTCTTCAACTGTGCTCCACAGGTCACCAGCTCTCTCTCACTCACTCAATTTATCGCATTCATGGTTTCTGGCTTGTTTGGGTCCTCAATGTCTGGTACAACCTTCACCATTTGGCTATTGTCCCTGCCATGATTTCTTACCCTCAAGCTTTACCTATTTTTATGTCCTCAATCAAGACCTTTAGTAAAAAGGCTATCCACAGTTGTTAAGATGGGACGATGATACAATGGTTGTTATAGTAGTCTATAAGAAGTTTCATACCTCCATGAGAAGAATTCGACTTAACTTTAGGTTATAATCGTGATTTGGGTTCAAAAGTCACATGAGAATGCTTATGTGTGAGATAAAAGTAAAGAGAAATACGAAAGAGCACTCTTACATGAGACAAAGATTTATGTAGTTTGACAAATGTGGGTAATGTTTTTCTCCGTTGCAATGTCGTTTAATTACGATTAAGAAACTGTATGGTTTTTTCTTTTATACAAGTCTAGTAGTAGGAACCCATTTTCTTTCAATAGGTGATGTGGGCTAAGTTAGGTTGTGATAGTGTGGTGGCCCTAAGCCTAGACCATACACCAACATGTAGGAATGAAGGCTGTCAAACCATTAGGTTACATCTCCCACTCACTCTCATCTAATTAGAGTTTAAGGCCAGCTTTACACGTTCATGAGCTTTGAAAGAAAGGGATACCCGACGAAACAAGGGAGTCCCATGTCGTGAAAGGTCACTGTCTTATCCTGCAAAGCAAAGAGGGCTGCTGAGTTAGAGAAGTACCAACAATGGAGAGAAAGGGTGGGGGGAGCATGAAAAGGAAAGAAGCAAAGAAGCAACTATACTGAAAGATAAAAGCCTCGCCCTCTTGGGAACATAACATGCAGCATTATTTGGTATTGAAAGCATGGCAATACCCACCTTCTATTCTATACCGGCTTTTTTCAATGTAGGAGGTCCAGAACAAGCACAAACGAGAAGAGAGGATTGATAGATATTTGATAGAATAGCAATGAGAAAAGCAGGAAGACAAGAAAGTGGTAAAGCTGCCTCTCATTCACATGCCCCCACTCTTTACCTTTTTAAATACCCACCTAAACTTGGTGCTTCATGATTAGTTTAGTTAGCGGGTGGATATTCCTAAACCCAACCAAATGGAGAATCAACCCCAATAGAGATCCACCAAGAACATGTTGATTGCCATCATTGCAATTGCAACTATGTGTAGTTCAACAAATCTTCACCAATCCTAATGCCATGTGAAACAACGATCATATGTCTGGGATTTCCAACTGGTCACTCATTCACACACCAAATATTATGGGCTACCATATTAGATCGAGAGCATATCCATTTTGTCATTATGAGTGGCAACACTTAAGATTAAGTTGGGTCATTCTGGAATGTTTGTCATGATGAATTGCATCAATTAGTTGCAAGTAAATGACAGATTAAACACTTAATACTATGAACTTGATAAACGATTCGGGAGCAGATGAATTCAAATAAGATCATTTAGTGTGGCATTAGTTAATACAAGTTAAGTTATGTTCTATTACAATCAATATGAGTTGACGCATATTCAATCACGTAATGCTTCAACATGTATCAAATTAAACACTTGTTTTCTCGCAAATTGGTTTGGGTTGTACCAAAAACACCAATGGAAGAAGATACCATAATTGGGAGGTAAGCAAACACATTTTCACATGGCCTACCCCATCCCTAAAAGCATATTTCTACATTAGACCATGAACCATCAAAGGATCATCCTTTCCACAAAGGCATGAAAGCTCCATACCACAACAAGAAGACGTAAGAAATTCATTATCTCCTCATTAAAGAGAGTTGGGTTGGGGGAGTTGAAATCTCATTATTGAAAGATCTTTCGAAGAGAAGATAGTATATTATTGTCATGAGTCAACACATCAAATAATGGGGATATTAATGCAATCAGCTCAAATTTTGTGGGTTAGCGATCAGCATTTAAATTGAGTTGTTTGATGTGCAGACGCAGCTCACTCCTAGTTTTCTGCTGATAGAAAAGTCGTTTGAATTTAATTGATTATCAAGAGTATTAGGTTCTAATACAAAACTCCTTTTATAGGATCGTTTGCATGCTATACCTGCATGACTGAATCTGGTAAATACATTTTATACTATGAATTTAATCTCATTGACTCTCTGAATAAAAAACGAGTCAGTGCCAATTATTTTTGTATCACTATCACGAGCGTCATCCCTCAGTTGTCAACCTGGGGACTCTAGACTGAATATTAGTTGCACGACCACTCTGCTAAAACCTCGTTCGTAATAGTATAAAATGATTTAACCATGGTTAAATTATTATTTGCACACAAAATATCTTACCTCTAACTTTTTCGGTACTACGCAATCAATTTCATGAAAATATAGAGATATAAATTCCACTTTTTTCCAAAAGATCCATTCCTTATTCCTTAATAAAATCAATGCTTTCCTTTCACTATAATTACAACCTTTCCTTTTTCTCTTTATTACTTAATTTTTGTGTTGACCAAAATTTTCCTTTTTTTATTGCAAATTCACCTCCCCATTGCCTTATCATATGAGATTCTTCCACAATACAATTAACCCAAAGATTTAGTTGAGTTTCCACCAGTATTTTTATTGATTCTTGTTAACATTTTTTTCCTAATCTTTGAGATATGGA